CTGCCATTTGGTTTTATAATAAAACTTATTTGTCTTAGTAGTTTGCCCTGCCCCTGGGAACTTTCCTTAACAAGCTGGCACTCTCACAACAGATTTTTAGAGATTGGTCAGACACCCCCAACTTCTTCAGTCTTGTCTGTGGAAAACCTTACACCAGCCCTGCAATTTATGATGACTACTGATATGCTAACTAGCCCATTTTTATTCAATCAGACCTTGGATTTCAGAGCCCCAGTCTTTCCAAAATGGTATTCCCCCTCCCCACTCCCATCTCCCTCCCCACTCCCATCCCCCTCCCCCACAAACACTTCTCCCAGCTCCATGTATGTAGTTTCTGTCCCACCTGGTCCGAAGCCTTTTAGCCCCAAATGAGCACACAGAGGTATCTATTACTTATAACCTGTTGGCCAATGGCTTAGGTTTCTTACTGGCTAACCTTTTCTTAATTATTAACCCATAACTACTAATCTATGTGTTTCTACATGGCCTTGTCTTACTAGAGAACGCCCAGCATGTCTTATCTTCCTGGTACCTACATGGTATCTCCCTCTGGTGGCTTCTCGTCTTGTAATGTAGCCCCTGCCTATCTTTCCTGCCTGGCTACTGGCCAATCAGTGTTTTATTCATAGACCAATAAGGAGAACATATATACAGAAGGACATCCCCATCATGTGTACTTCCTTGTTTGGTCCCTGTTCCTTTCTTTGGTTTCATCTTCTTTACCCTAAAACTTGGAATCTTAAAAAATCACTTGCTATTCAGCAGTTACATTCCTGAATATGTTCAAGACGACGGAAAACATGTTTATAAAAATACTGTACACACTGTTCATAACATCTATGATGGTTGTTAACCTTGACAATTGACAGGATTTACTCACTCTGCATGTGTTATTTTGAGGGTGGCAGTAGAAAGGTCTAACAGAGCAGAGAAGATCCGCCCTAAAAGGTTGGCAGTACCACACCTTGAGCCAGGGTTCTGGATTGAACAGAAAGGAAAAATCCAGCTAAATACCAGCATTTACATCTGTTTTCCTGTGACCAGCTGCCCCACACTCCTGAAGCCATGCTTTCCTCAACATGATAGACCCTCAAAGTCTCCAAAATAAACTCTGCCCCCATGTAAGTCGTTTTCCCCCGTGTTTGGTCAGAGCTGTGAGAAAAACAACTGAACACACAGCCCAAAAGTGGAAACAACTGAAACATCCAGTCTGACAAACGAGTAGGCAAATTGTGGTGTAACTATACATAAAAAGGAATCAAGGGTTGATCAATACCTTGGATATGTTATGCTAACTGAGAGAAGTTATACTAGGTGTGGTGGTGCACACCATGATTCTAACTACTTGGGAGCTGGAAGCAAGAGGATCAAGAGTTAAACCCTTCCTTTACTACATCAACTCGGAGAGTTCAAGGACAGCTTGGGCTACATGGGACGCTACCTCAAAAATAAATAGTAAATAAATGAGAGAGAAAGAAAAGGAAGAAAACAGCCTGACACAAAAAGCCACACATTGCATAATTCAAGTCCTAGGAGATGTCCAGAACAGAAAAGAAAGTAGGTGAGTGCTTATCTGGGTGTGAGCAAGGAGGAGATCTGGGAGCAACTTCAGACACACAGGAGACTTAATGTGATTCTGCAATTAGTGGCAAAGGCTGCACAAGGTAGGGGTTACACAAGACAAACACCAGATGGTGCATCATTATCATTATGATGATGGTTATTGCTATGATTATGATTATAATTACCAAGACAGGTTTTCATTATGTAGTTCTGGCTGGCCTGGAACTCACTTTGTAGGCCAAGCTGGCCTCTAACTCATAGAGATCCCTCCTGCCAACCAGAGCTACATAGTGAGACACTGTCTCAAACAAACAAGCAAAAAAGTAAGGTGAAAAATGATAAAGATCCAACATTCACTTTTGGCCTTCATGGGTATAGACATGGACATATGCATCTGTGCACACGCATGCAACACCCTCCCCTCCCATGGAGGTTTATTGAGATCACATTCCTGGAGGTCTAGAAACACTATGTTGGCATTTACGTGGCTCACATTAGGTGGTGGTGTGAAGAGGAGTTGAGCTGCTGACTTGTTTGTAACATCCATCTTCAGAGCAGCTGACTCCATTCTAGCAACAATACTATCTTTTCAGCAGGGTGAAGGCCCCATGTCCTGAGTCTCTTCGACAAGGCCCTACCTCCTAAAGTATCCCCCACCTCATGCTGCCACTGAAGTCCATGCTCTTTCACAGTTCTGCCTACCTTCTTCTGGTACATTAAAAAAGGCAATAAAAGTCTATCATCCTGCTGGGTGTTGGAGGCAGAGGCAGATGGATCTCTGAGTTCTAGGCCAGCCTGGTCTACAGAGCTAATTCCAGACAGAGAAACCTTGTCTCAGAAAACCAAAAACAAAAAGTATATCACCCTACAAAACAAGGCCAATATTCATAATCAGAACTAAGCTTGGTGGTACACTATAGGAGAGGTTCTGGACTGGCCTCTTTGGGACATTCTTTTAGACCTAGTCTGAAGCCAAAACACACATCTATAGTTCTAGGTTCTCAGGAAGCTAAGGATGGTCACTTGAGCTCAACCTGGGCAAGACACCAAGATCATGTCAAAAAATAAAATAAATGCCTTATTAATTGAGTAGAATTTTACTCAAGGAACTGACCTTTATAAAAGTACACATGTACAGATATAAGACAACCTGTGTAGAAATTCCCTTTAAAAGGAAGGAAACCAATGTGTTGGGGGGTCCTGAACAGGAAAATAATGTATTGGGACACCAAAGAGCAATCCTTGGAGGCAGTGACACTTAGGCTGAGTACAAGGGACAGGGTTGGTGGGGAGCAGCAAGAATAAAATGCAAAGCCCAAATGGATGAAAAACAATATCAGAATGGATCTTAGAATATGTGCACGAAATTGTGGAAAACAAAGGAAGAAAGGCTACGAGGGGTTAGCAAGATGGCTCAACAGGTCAAGACTGATGGCCCAGTTTCAATCCATTGGACCTACATGAGGGAAGGAGAGAACTGAGTCCCACAAATTATCCTCTGGCCTCCACACAGACACCATGGTATACTCATATCCACTGGCCCAGAAAATTAATATATATATATATATCAATATATAATAAAAAAGATTTTAGAAAGACTGCAGGAGCCATATTCTGTAGTACTAGTCATATCAGGGTAAATAGGCAACAGGCTGTTGCAGAAAGGTGGAAAAAGTCTCTTATTCACTAGGCTATAGACAAGGAAATGCCATTATTTATTCAAATCCTTAGACATCTACAACCTCTGGGGACTAGGATTTTACTTGCAGGTATTATTCCTAAAAGTTATAATGATGCTGACTACACCATTGGTAATTCTAGAAAAATCAGGCACTGAGTTATAGTGGCTGGAGTAATGGCTTAGTAGCTAAGAGTGCTTGCCACTCTTGTCAAGGACCAGAGTTCAGTTCTCAGCACCCACATTAGGTGTTCACAAGTGTCTGTAACTCCAGTTCCAGGAGATCCAATGCCCTATTTTGGCCTCTGTAGGCACAAGCACACACATGCACAGACATAATTGCAGGCATATACAACCAACAAAAATAAAAATAAATATTGTTGAAAGGAAGCAAAAATGCCTAACCACAGAGACTCATTTACAAATCAGGGGATGTAGGGAAATGTCCATGTTATTCTTAATTGTTACAATGTCAGGGGACTTCTCTGGCATTTAGTGGGTGGAAACTGAGGTAAGTATCTTTGGTGTACAGGACAGCCTCCTACAATGAAGAATTCCTGGACTCAAAATGTCAGTGGGGCCAAGGTGAGAAATCTTGCTGTAGAAGATGCTGTCGCAACACAGAGGAACACTCTATAGTCATTACAGGAAATAAGAAGTACCTTTGAAAGACATTCATGGTATCTGGTGAAGAAGGAAAAGCATGTTACAGTATGGCATATGTAAATCTTCTAAAAACCTTTTAGTAAGCAAAAAATCATTTTTATTTTCTTTTTTGTCTTTATATATTTTATAAAGTTCAGTAGTCGAGGACATGTAAAACTTGTAACTAAAAACAAAAAGATGCTGAACACCAATGATGTGCCAGACAGTCCTGGGAGAAGACCTAGGGAACAAACCCTGATAGGTCCCTGCCCTCATGAAGCTCCCAGTCCAGTGGGGGAAGACAGAGAGGAGGACAAGAGAGAAAAGCCAAGAGAATTGCTGGAAAGAACAAATACAATAACTAAGGAAATGAAAAGGGATGACAGGAAATGGAGAAAGAGCTGTGGTGCTTCCTTGGACTAAGATAACAAGAAATGATGAATGAAAATAAAACCATATCACCTGCAGACTTCATGGAACTGGGAAAGAGGGAACAGGATGCTCAGGTGAATTATGGCATCTGGTTCTTTCCCCCTTTAAAAAATAATATACAAGCTGGGCGTTGGTGGCAGAAGCAGGTGGATCTCTGTGAGTTCAAGCCTAGCCTGGTCTACAGAGCTAGTTCCAGGACAGGTTCCAAAAAAATACAGAGAAACCCTGTCTTAAAAAGCCGATGTATGTGTGTGTGTGTGTGTATGTATGTATGTATGTATGTATGTATGTAAATTGTGACTTGTTTACCCCATTAAGAGAATGCCGAGGAGCAACAAGAATGAACAAATAACATCACACGTGGAGATAGAGATGAAGATCACAAACGTGCTGAACTGAGAATTCTGCAAAGCTAACCTGTGCAGAAGTCATGGTTTACCACTGGGTGGAGAGGGGTACCTTTGTACATAGTACTAAATGGGTACAATGCCCTCAAGAATTTATTACACTTTACAGGGAAGGAAGTAATTCACTTTACAATAAAGTCCCTTTACAAAGTTCAAAGGGCCAGCAACTGTCTATAATCATTCATTACACAGTATTTACAAGGCACTGTTCACAGCATAGGGCTGTTGTGGAACCTTAAACAAGGCTCACCCAGGAAGACAGAGCTCTTACCTACCTCCTTTTGTGCAGGAGAGATACATCAAGGAGGATTCTGGTATTTTCAGGTTCTCTGGAGTTGATAGCCCCCAGGCTGTGGTGTGCATTTCTGATGAACAACCCAAGGAAGCACAGGCTAGAATCAGAAAGATCATTAAGGCACCAGGAGAAAGAACAAGTTGAAAGGAAATAGACTTCTAAAGGTCAGCCTTTCTGGAAAAAACAGATGTTAACCAGAGGTTACAACTGAACAGTAGGATCACGTGTGCTTTTAATTGTCCTTTTGCAGTATTTTCTATAGAAAGCATGCCTTATTTTTATAATAAAAGTATAACTAAGGAAGGTTTTCTTTTGTTTTTTCTTTTGTTTTTTAACAAGGGCCCTTAGAATTCTAAAATTAGAACATCACTGAAATCCAAACCCAAGAAAGACTTGTGTACAGAAATTATGAAATCAGGGCCAAGGGTTGTTAGATCATGATGTACCTGTGTACACTGATACAACCATGGCAACTGAAGCCCCACACTTGGAGGGTTAGGGAAAGAGGGAATGAGTGTGGTGTGGTTAGCTTTAGTTGTCAAATCGACACAGCATAGAACTACCTGTGAAGATTGTCTCAAAGAGGGATAGTCTACACTGGATTGGCCTGTGGGCATATCTTTTGGGAGTTGTCTTAATTAAGATAATTAATGCAGAAGACAGCCTACTTTGGGAAACACTATCCCCTAAGCAGTGGTTCTGAACTGTAGGGGAATGCTTGAGTCCAGCGCAGCACAAGCAAGCAAGCAAGCAAGCAAGCAAGCAAGCAAGCAAGCAGTCATGCATGCATTTTCTCTCTCTCTCTGCTCTTGATGGTGGATGTGATGTGATTGGCTATCTATCTCAAGCTCCTGCTGCCATGACCCCTTTCCCCTGGCCCACCAATGATGGACTGTAACCTGAAGCTATGAACTTAAACACACCCCTTCCTCCCTAAGCTGCTCTTTGTCAAGGCATTTTGTCAGCAAGAGTGGATGGTTCCGTTGCGGGAAGGAATCCGAAGGTTTGCAGGTGGCTGTGTCAAAGCTCAGTCCTTCCTTCATGGAGGACTGTAGATAGACTTGTCAGCTCTTCTGACTGACCAAGAAGCCAAACCAATCTCCTAAATAGTAATTGTCAGGCATGGATGTCACAGGTCCAAAGGAAGCCACCAATATAGGAAGTAGGCTGCTCTGAGCTGCTTATGGCATCCTCTGCCTGAGTGCTATGCAATCAAATCTAAGCTCCTATCAGACCAGGGGAGAAAAGGAGCTACTCTGGTCTCTCTCCCAGGGCCCAGTGGCATCTGGAACATGCTGATCCTCATAATTCTTATTCTGGGGAAGTATTAATGACTTAATCCCTCCGCTTGCTCCTGATCCTGTGTGGCCTTCTCAGTGAGACTTACAGACAAGACTCAGAGAAGTCCAGACTGAATCAGAGCACACTGAATTCAGTTTGCTGGGAAACGGCCCTGAAAAGGCCTAAGCCTGAACCCCTCCCCTTGGAAGCAGCTGGAAAGAGTCCCAGCCATGGGTGAGGTAACAGCAGAGGAGGTAGAAAAATTCCTGGACTCAAATATTGGCTTTGCCAAACAATACTATAATTTTCACTACCGGGGGAAGGTCATCTCAGACCTCCTTGGGGCCAAGGAAGCAGCGGTGGACTTCAGCAACTACCACACTGTGAATAGTGTGGAGGAGAGTGAAATCATCTTTGACCTTCTGCGGGACTTTCAGGAGAATTTACAGGCTGAGAAATGCACGTTCAATGTCATGAAGAAACTCTGCTTTCTCCTACGGGCTGACCGCATGAGCCTGTTCATGTACAGGACCCGCAATGGCATTGCAGAGTTAGCCACCAGGCTCTTCAATGTCCACAAGGATGCTGTCCTGGAAGACTGTTTGGTGATGCCCGACTCTGAGATCGTCTTCCCTCTGGACATGGGTGTTGTGGGCCATGTTGCACACTCCAAAAAGATTGCCAATGTCCCCAACACAGAAGAGGTATGCTCTCCCTGTTAGAGAGATGGTGGGGTGCACCACTCCCTGGGGTTCTGGAGCCCACATGGGCTGGGTTGTTGCTGGCCATCAAAGTCTGGGCTACTCATGGCATGACACCACTCTCTATTTGCCAATACTTCAAACTTTTTATTTAGAAAAGAAGAACATTCAAAGCTAGTAGGAGTTTGAAATACTACAAAGAACTGCATGCCTTTTTCATTCATATTCACCAGTTATTAACATGTTGTCACATCTGCATCTCTCTCTATTTCTGTGACCTGTCAGAAGGAAGTTTCAGGCATGCCCTTTTGTCCACACAACCTTCATTCTGTATTTCTTGAACAGGACATTTCCTCCATAGTCACAGTACAGTAGTGGAATTTGGGGAGCGTCACATCCATGTAACACAATCATCGAATAGTTCATATTCAGTGTTTTTCAGATGGCTCACATACACTGATGTAGCCCTGTCTCTTTAGTCAACTCCCATCTGAAACCGCTCCTTGGTCTGTCTTTGTTTTCTGGAAAAGTTGGTGTATTTGAAGAAATATTTTTTTGCCAAATCAGACAAATCCACAAGTATTTCATGGAAACGTCCTTCCATTTTGACTTATCTAGCCCCTCCCTCCACGATGGATTTGTTTACTATACTCTGGGGGGAGGAGACAGACTGACTGACTCATTTGGCATCCCAGACTGGCCTGAAAGTCCCCACGTAGCCCAGGAAAGCCTCAAACTCTTGGCAATCCCCTTGTCTCAGCTCTCCAAGTGACAGGATTATAGACAGGAGCCACCACACCTTCACAATTAGATTGGGTTTCACATTCTCACAGAAGCAACACTCAGGTTTTCTTCATATTTGATATGAGCAGACTTGGGAGTTGATGTGCCGTTACTGAAAGTTGTAACAGTGATAAAACCTGATCGTTCTAAAAATCCAGAAGTCTAGAGGGTCACTGAGAGTTCTAAGCCAGCATGAGATGCAAGGTCCAGTCACAGTTCTACATGGGTTACAGAGCAACCCAAAGCAAGCCAACAAAATCCTGGGGCTCAGGAAATTTTCTTGGCAGCTCTGACAAAGATCCCCATGAGCAGGTCAATTTTTCTGCTGGGTATCAACTTTGAGGACTCTAAAGCAGTTCCACTTAATCTTGTATACCCAAGTCAACTCCAAACAGCCTTCAGATCTTAACTCAACAGTCACTTCCTTGGGAACACCCCTCCCTGAAGTGATTGGACAAGATGAGCTCTAGCATGGGGGATCTTATTTATGAGGTATTTATCCTAGGGTGCTGAATAATGTCAGACACAAAGCATGTGGTTAATACACACAGCCTAATTAACAGGAATTTTTCAGTGATTTCCCATTCACACCACTAATCTAATCTCTAGGTTAGATCATTTACTTGTACACCAGCCATACCAAGATATCAAGTTAACCATTTCCAAGGTCCAGCCCCTGGACTTTTTGTGTCAGTTTTGTTTGGCTGGTTGTTTTGAGACAGGGTCTTGCTGTGTGGCCATGGCTGACCTAGAACTAACTTTGTAGACCAGGATGGTCTTGAACTCTCAGAGATTCTCTTGCCTTCATGTATCATTTGCCTGGCTTCCTGAACATTTTGTGACTTTGTCTTCACCTTGCTTCTGTCTTTATTTCAGATAAATAGTTTTAAGGTTAAGAAGGGAAGAAAATGGGCTTAGAAAGATAGCCCAGCCAGCAAGGTGCTTTCTAGGCAAACATGAGAACCAAAGTTCAACCCCTAGAACCCACATTAAAAAACAAAACAAACAGATAAACAAACAAACAAAAAAACCAAAAACACTCTGGCATATACCTGTAATTCCAGAGCTGGGGAGATAAAGACAGGGAGAACCTGGGATTTGATGCTAGCCAACCTAGCTAAGTCAATGAACTCTAGGCTAACAAGAGCCTGTCTCAAAAAACAAAGTGGACAGCAATCTAAGGAATGGCACCCAAGGTTGACCTCTGCCTTCCACATGCAAGTGCACATAAATAACACACACACACACACACACACACACACACACACACACACACACACACACACCATCCAGATGGGGAGGTCTTAAGAGAGGGCTTGCCCAAGGTCACCAAAGCTTTAAGCCCAATCTAACACAAAAATGCAAAGGGGTAATCTAAGAGTGATTACCTGGTCGTTTTCCTAAAAGTCTAGCAGTTTAGAGAATCACTGAAAATTCTAAGCTAATATGAGCTACAGAATCTCAGGCCAGTCTGGGCTACAGAGACCAACTCTGTGGGAAACATTAGGCAGACCGCCATGGGGTTAAGGTCTCCCTGCACGCCCACTTGGCGTCCAGGACTAGGGCTATGGAGGTAGTATGGGAGTCTTGCTGAATGCATTTGTCTCTTTTCACTTCCCTCTAAACTTTGGTACATTCTCCCAACAACTGTGAAGACACAGTCTTGTGTAATAGCTCTCACTATCTTGTGCGTAAGATGCTGACATGGAAACTCTTGCTCAGGATCACATAGATGTAAAGTACAGATGTAATGTAAACTCAGGCACTGTGGCCTTGAACCCATGCTCTTAACCCTCGCTATTCCATACTTGTCCTTATCTGTAAAATGAGGTCATGGGATAGAGTGCTATTTAAGACAGATCGTTTCTGGTTGGATTTCAGGACTAGGACTGAGGCTTTGTCACCTTGAGGTCAGATCTGGGCACAATTTTTTTGCTTGTTTGTTTGTTTTTTGAGGCAGGGTTTCTCTGTATTGTTTTGGAGCCTGTCCTAGAACTTGCTGGCTTCAAACTCACAGAGATCTGCCTGCCTCTGCCTCCCAAATGTTGGGATTAAAGGCGTGTGCCACTGATGCCCAGTGCTGGGTACAAGTCTTGTCACTTCCTAAGAACAGAGCCTTGTCAAATTGTTTAGCTTGCTTGGGCTCGCTATTTAATTTATCTACCACTGTCAGTACCCTGTCTACGCTGGGACTGCAGGTGGGCTGCCATACCCACCTGGCTTTTACATGGACTTTGGGGCCCTGAATTCTGGCCCCAGCTTTGTAAGGTAAGTGTTTTACCCACTGAGCTACTTCCCCATCCTCCTGGCACAAGGCCTA